GGGGGGGGGGGGGTTGTTACCAAATTTAAAATTTTAAAAATATTTTTTAAAAAGGTGCCGTTAGCCAGTCAATTTTGTAGGCCATTTAAAATCTGTGTCTCCTGGAGTGCTATTAAAGTTAAATCACCGCTGGTTCTAATATAAATTAATGACGAGGAATTTTGTGTGGTCCACCAGCACTGACAGTTAATTGATTTTTTAAATTTAAATATTTTTTATTTATTTTTAAACTTGATTAAGTCCTAGCTATGTGTTTGAACGGTCCCAGAAGAGGATGATACGTGAATCTGCCGTCGTGATGTGGGGGGGGGGACGACTCTCAATTCGGGAACTCTCATTTCGGGAACTCTCATTTCGGGAACTCTCAATTCGGGAACTCTCAATTCGGGAACTCTCAATTCGGGAACTTTCAATTCGGGAACTCTCAATTCGGGAACTCTCAATTCGGGAACTCTCAATTCGGGAACTCTCAATTCGGGAACTCTCAATTCGGGAACTCTCAATTCGGGAACTCTCAATTCGGGAACTCTCTGATACAAATTAGTTTTTTGTTTTTTTTTTTTTTTTGTACGTCGTGCACTTTAGTTTTGGGGAGGGTTGGGGGGGGGTGGAGGCGTTGCTGGCACTCTGTACTAATTGCATTGATAAGCCAACAACATATCGTTTTTTTCCAAGTACACCTACCACTTGCCAAGCCGGGCTACCAAACAATGTATCTTGTTGTATAGAATAAGATGTTGCCCGGTACACCGCGATAACGCTGAGCGGAGATTCCCCCACAAGCTGTGGAATTTTATTTCGTGGCACGAGAGTAGATATTTTAATGCCATGGTCGAAACAAAAACTTGGAAGATGCCACGTTTGGTACTCAAGTGGTAGATTGACTTGAAGTTGAAACAAAACAAACCAAAAACCTAAGTCTTAATCTGGCCAATTATCCAAAGCGAGACCAAATTTAAATGGCTTTGGCATGCCTCACCACTTCTTCCCATCCAGCCCATTTAGGGCTTACGCCTGGCTCACTACGACCTGTTAATAAGTGGCGTAGCTTAGGGTGGTCTCCCCCGGTGCGGTAAACTCGTGGGATCCCCCGCCCCTCCCCCCCCCCCCCCGATGGATTTCTTCGTGTTAAAATAAATCCGCAGTATAACAATGTCAAGAACAAACAAACAAAAAACAAATTAATTAAATATCAGGAGGTAAAGGTATTTAACAACTGTAACTGTAACCATGTTAAGTTATAGTTATTTTTACATTCAATTTACTTTATTCATTCAAAGTGTCTCTTTCCTGGTCTTTAAAGCTGCACACCTCTCAATCACTTGATCCATCACAGTATCACTGGGATTGGTTACATGTGTGTAACATTTACGTGTGATCGTTTTTTTTTTGTTTTTTTTTAATATAAAATTCGGTTAGACCGAGCAGTGTGAGCGCTGTAACTGTAAATATGCAATTTTTAAAAAAATTTGGTGTCACCCCCTGACATGATGCCACCTGGTGCGGTCAGCATCCCTTAGCTACGCCACTGCATTTAATTCACCTGATGTTACCATTTAATTCACCTGATGTTACAGCCCATGCAGGTCTTAGCCCTGTCCCATCCCAAGCGATTTGTGTGTGTGCACAAAGGGAGAGGGGCTTTCAAGGTAGAACGTTCAAAATCTCAGTTACAATTGAAACAAATATGAAAAAAAGGAATAGCATATTATTTACGCAAATCATTCGAATGACCTAAAAAGCTTATTAACTATTCCCTAACACGTCATACATGGTGTAGGCCAATTTAATCATTGCTTTTGCATAAACACAAAAATTAGTTGATATTTTTTTAAGTGGACTTAGTAATTAGATTATTTAGTTTTACTTTTTCTTGTGTTAGATTTGACAACCATCTGAATTGATTAAAAAAAATTTGATAAGACCATCTGAATCGATTTCAACAAGTTGATGACACCATCTGAATCGATTTTCAACAATTTGATAATACCATCTGAATTGATTTCAACAAGTTGATAATACCATCTGAATTGATTTCAACAATTTGATTATACAATCTGAATTGATTTCAACAATTTGTTAATACCATCCGCATTAATTTCAACAATTTGATATTAATATCTGACTGGATTTCAACAAGTTGATAACACCATCCGAGTCGATTTCAGACTTTGATAACACCATCTGACCTGATTCAACTATCTGATAACACCATATGAATTAATTCAACCACCGTGTATTTGAACACCCTCGACATACCCACACACACACTTACACAGCTACTACCACCACACAGTCAGGTCAGTGTTAAACATACCCCGGTACCTGTTGATTGTAACTGGATTAGTGAAAGATGAAAAAAGCAAATCGGAGGCATTCGTGTGAGAGGACTTTATTTGCACTACTGGAACAAATGTCAAACCTCGTTAGTGGTCTCGGTATATTTATGTTAAAGATGGTACAGACATGGGTAAAACTTTCTAATAAATCCACCTAAATATCGACATCTACATCAATGTATAAAATGACAGAGACACCAGGACACTGCGTGGAAGTGCATCCGTTCTGCGAATGGTGAGAGAAAAAAATTGAATGTCATGATGGATGACGACTGACGTCCATTAGATCGCAGGCATCTGTGACGAGGATGTAGAATACTTTGAATCGTGTCCACTGTAACTGTTGCCACACATTAAGACGTTATTCAGATCATTGCACGTTGAGTGTGTCATTTAATCAAATAAATACTTGGAGTCAAGACCCTGATGCAAGTAACAAGGAAATAACAATCATAAATTATAATCAGCATGTAAGAGACGTGGACAAGGGAGATTAAAAATATGACATTATATTAACCCATGCACAAGGGAGACTAAAAGTATGACATTATATTAACCCATGGACAAGGGAGACTAAAAATATGATATTATATTAACCCATGGACAAGGGAGACTAAAAATATGAAATAATGTTCACCCTTTCATTACAATATTAGGCATTTAATACACAAGGGAAACAACTACTCTTTGGATTGTGGGGTATGGGATTACAGGATAAATAAAGAGGATTTTAATTTGGGTCCATATTTTTTTCCATGCCTGCACATTTTAAATATAAAATTATAATCCAGGGACTAGGCAAATAATGGACGTGATCAAATAAAATAAAATAAGCTAATTAAGGTCAACAATGCTCAAGGTCATCATTTTATTTGATGCATTATGAGTGTGCCCTAATACAAAATTAGACAATTCGCACGCACCACAAAAACTTTGAATTTTCTAGTGGTCAATAAACTGAAATCCCACAGCCTCGGCACTTGTCCCCTTAGATTTAATCTTCCAGGGAGGCCTGTGTTGGTTTAGTTCGCCAACCTCAGTGCATGGAATGATCATCAAATCATTCAAACATCTATTACTGTAAATGCAAACTGTCATATTCACTTTAAATAAATTCCGATAATTTTCACTGTTGCAATCCAACTAAGCCAAGCGACTCATCTAAGGAAAGGAGATTTCGAGCTTTAAAAACGAGATTTAAGTACGGACAAAAGGTACATGGGAATCAATATTTTTTTTTTTAACAACAAGATGTACACAATACAGCATAAAATCATACAACTCAGCGGTAATAAAGGGATTAATATGTACAATGGATACAGGAATGTTCTACAGTCTGGGATCCAGTGTACTGACCCATCACCTGATTGCCACTGGCCAAGTGATATGCCATTCTTACATCTCTACATAGAAAGTCTGGAGATCTTCTCTTACCCGGCAAGGGATTTCAATAGAAGCTGCTGGTTGGTTACAGCATGATTTCCTGAGCAGTAATTCAAGGATGTGTAACTATAATTATCAATAGTTTTAAAATATATAAAAAGTAAACAATAGTCTTGACTGCACATCCCATTGGCTTTTAATACAGTCAATCAAAGGCGTTTAGCAATTCAACTGTCGTTACATTAAGCCTGTAGGGTCACAAGCCGAGTCACACTAAAACATCTTGCCTTAACCCATTCAAGCTTAACTCCTGATGCCTGACAACAGGGGTTGGCAACCTTTTTTGAGTGAGGAACAACTTTTATAAACTATATCTGTTAAGAAAATATTTTGGGAACCGCATGTTCCCATAGAATTGAAAAAAAAAAATTGTAAAATAGAGCAGGATCTATTCCTACAAAGATGTGCAGCCGCCTCCAGAGCTGAGGGTTGCTGATCCCTGTCTACAACATGAGAGCAGGATCTATTCCTACAAAGATGTGCAGCCGCCTCCAGAGCTGAGGGTTGCTGATCCCTGTCTACAACATGAGAGCAGCATCTATTCCTACAAAGATGTGCAGCAGCAGCCTCCAGAGCTGAGGGTTGCTGATCCCTGTCTACAACATGACTGTTTCTCATCAAAATTTGGCTGATGTGTCATGATATTAATAAATTGTTAAATATTTCATAATAATTGAAATATTAATTTAAAGAAAAAAACACAAAAGATGTTGTATGGAAACAAAAACTATCACATGAAAAAGTCTATGAAAGAGCTTCATGGAAGATTTTGTAAATGGGAAAAGAATGTACATTTATTAAAATAGAATTTTTAATATAATAAATATTTTTTTTTTAAAATTTCAAAATCTGTGGCTGAAATATGCTCTCTTTGCGGTTTCATTCAATGTATATTGTTCTATAAGCTCGGTCATATTGTTTGGTGAGAATGTCAACAAATAAAATATCAAATGAATAAATGAAGATTGTAAGTTAAGTTCAATGTATTTGATTAAACCCCCCCCCCCTCCCCCCCCAAGCTGATCTCACTGTTGAATTTACTGACAAAAATTTGAACATCTTGGAAAATTGCCCTTAGAGATTGTTACCTTGTTTATATAAAGCAAAATTTTGCAGCCATGTACATTTGGTAAGAATGTCAAAAAATAAAATATCAAATGAATAAATGAAGATTGTAAGTTAAGTTCAATGTATTTGATTAAACCCCCCCCCCCTCCCCCCTCAAGCTGATCTCACTGTTGAATTTACTGACAAAAATTTGAACATCTTGGAAAATTGCCCTTAGAGATTGTTACCTTGTTTATATAAAGCAAAATTTTGCAGCCATGTACCATCATAATAATGGAACAATTTTCTCTCTTGGTTAATGATAAGAGAACTCAACATTTTTTTTATCTACTTATCAAGAGGAGTTATTTGAGTTTCTTGATTCGCCTCAGTTGAATGTAGGCCAAGAGCAAGTAGGCGAAAACCATAATCCCTAGGGCGGCTTCGTTTTGCCAAAGGTCCCAGGCCGTCTCATAGGGAATTTTCTGCGACTGTAGATAATAGTTGCCATTCACGCTGTATGGAAGAGAGGGAAAAGTTATTGTTTTTCCGCTATTGCTAGGAGGTCTGGGTTAGTGTTAGTCGTGCTATTTCTGATTATGATATTGGAATATTTTCGAGAAAATAAAGTGCACCAAATTTATCCTCATAAAATTGTCAAAGATTAAAATGGCGTGTTTTAAAAAAAAAAATGTATGTTATATATAAAATAACCGAGGAACTGCATTGAACATATAGTACGTAATTTTTCTCATCTTTGTAATGAAAATAATTGATATTTGTTGAACTTATTTTTAATACTTTGAGTTTTGGCTACACGGCTGAACGTTACCATTGTCTGCCTCTCAACTAGGAGGTTCAGGACTTAACTTTGATAACAATAACAGGGCCATCGGGTGCTATGGGTCAATATTAGAATGGAATGGACTCATCAGCTATTCTTCAGGAGGAAGTTAACCAGCAGAAAAAAAAAAAAATTTTAATACTGCCAAATTCAGATTCAGAAGATGGCAGCCAATTTGGGATGGGATCTAAAAACGTTAACTGTGCAAAAATTGGTGCATTTTTACCAGTAAATCTACAGTGGTCAGCAAAAAAATCCATACAGTTTCAACACACAAAGGTCCTATTTGTAATTTTTTTTCTTTAAATTTTAAAAAACCTCATTCCTATATATAGGCTCACTTACCAGTCAGTGAAGTTACAGAAGTTTTGATCTTTAAGTTCATTTACTTCTAAAGCCTAGAACAGGAAAAATAAAATATGACAACTTCAGAGTTCAGTGCAAGATTTATAAATTTGTTTAAGCAGTAGCTTCATTAAAGTGTTTTCATAAATATATTTAAAATAGTGCACTGACACAGGAGCAGTGCTACAACGAATGGCTTGAATATAATAATAATTATAATATAATGATAATATATGTCTTATAGAGATTGGTTTTTTAACAAGTATAGAATTTCCTTGTCTGAAAAAAATTCAGTGCTATCCAGTGCTAGCCAAACTGTAGTTTTTCGAAAATGGGGATTTCTTTTTAAAAGCAATCGTAGCAAAATAAGTACAAGACAAAATATGGTGAAACTCACTAACTGAGAAGGCATAAACAAATGTAAACAATGATGAGTTTATTTTGAAATCAAGACAAAAAAATTGTTGTTGCAATTTTTATCTTTAAAGTGCCAAGCAAAAGTAAAAAAATGTCACTCTCTTTTAACCATAACTGCTCTAAACTCTTTTGGATTGTCTACATTTGTATTTTTTTCTAAAGTTGTTTCCCTTTGTCTAATGGAAAAACAAAATCTTTGCAGGTAGACATCTTTAGATGCTTAAAATAATAGACATACACAACTATTACATTAAAAAATTATAACGAAATACTCACATTTAAACTGTACCGGAATATACTCAGGTATTTAATCCAACTAATCCAGTCTCCTAAGTCACCCACATTGATTAAAAGGCCACTAAATAGCTGAAAGCAAAAAAAGTTTCATTTAAGAATAAAAAAAATTTATGTGACCGAGCTGCGTCCTAAGTCATAGGTAATAAGAGTGAGAGAAGAACAACTTTGACAAGTGACTGCTCATTGAAATTTACAAAATTAAAAACTGAATTTAAAAATTATAATTGTGTCTGTAAATTGTACCTACGTTACCATGTATTTCTATAACATAGCAAAACCACTGAAAATGTATAGATCTAAATCACTGCTCTCTCTAAAGTAGGTCAATTCCCGATTCAACAATTCATCCAGACGAAAACAAAACTCTGAGCTCACCATCATAAATACATAGCACAGGGCCAAGCACAGATTGGCTATTGCGAATATCCTGACGGTGGAGCTGATGGCAAAGGAAAGGGCAGACGCCGACAAGGCTGTGAGGAACAGGTTCAAACCGAAGAAGAAAAAATGGTCCACACCATCTCTCAATCCTGCGGAAATTATAGATTTAATCACACAAGTTAGAATGCAATCATTTCAGCTAGTCTTGAGTTCAAAATCACTTTGGTCTTTGTTGTTAAGTTTATGATGGTGTCGCTGCCTTTGTAAAACAAAACAACTTTATACCTACTAGACACCAGCGCACCTGGTTACCAATAAAAAATAGTGAAGCTTATATTTAAATATCCATTCTAATGTCCTGGTTAAAGCTTAATGTCTCTTCTAATGTCCTGGTTAAAGTTGAATGTCTCTCCTTATGTTCTTGTTGTAGTTGAATATCTATTCTAATGTCCTGGTTATAGTTCATTGTCTCTTCTATCGTCCTGGTTATAGTTGAATGTCTCGTCTATGTCCTGGTTTTAATTGAATGCCTATTTGAATGTCGCTATTATGACTGACCTAACATAAAGTAGACAATGCATGAGAAGATAACAGCTGGGATCATTCTCAAAGGTATGACATCACAGAAAACTTTGGCCAAGAAATAGGCAGACACTCTGTAGAATCCGCTCACATTTTCATGTCTGAAATTTTTGTTTAAAAACAATAAATAAACTTTGCATAAGATTTCAGATAATTGGTTACTGAACTGCTTTGATGACAACAGAAAAATACTTGGTGGCAGCTCCTCCCCCCCCCCCCAGCTATTAACTGACTTGAGAACTGTGTGATGGTGACATTTTTAATATATATTCCACATCCATTCACGGTACCATAACTAGCAATAAATCAAAGCAAACATAAAAAAAATAACTTAAAACATGTATTTGGTTTTGTTATTGCTGGAAAAAACTCTACTATATGTATTTATTTATGTGCTGAAAACGAATATGCTCATTGCAATCAAAAAAGCATTTCCATTTATTTGGATCAGTAAAAGAATATTATCCTCTTATCTTATCTTATCTTATCACCGTATGTCCATGTTATTAGATTTCCTTATATCTATAATATGTACTTAGCCCAATCCCATGATGGGCCCATTGTTCTATGACAATTTTGGTATAATTACATAGTGTCAATGCATGTGCAAGGATGCCACGATTAGGAAGATTTTTAAAAATTCATCATGTGTTGATTTTAAGTACAGTTAAATACATGCATTTGTAGAGTTAGGCATACTTAACGATAGCTAATATGGAGAAAATAATACATTACAAATTGACCAACAATGAATTGAAGCCTTTCATATAGCAAGCACTTACATAAAAATGGCCCTTTCTTTAATGAAGAGCTCCACAGCAGACATGTTACCAAACACTTGGTTCATGATGATGAAGAAAAAAGCACCAGCTCTGTGACAACAATTTAAAAACTATTGTAAGAGGCTGCGGCTATTGGGACCCGGGTCCCAAAAGTGAGAGTTTGGGTTTATTAAAAAATATTTTAAAATCATTGCGGGGTTTGTAAGACAAAATTAGGTATCCAATGAAAGATAATTGAATGGACTATATGTTTGTAAACTTACTTCTTCAGTTTAACTAAATTAAACTACAACAAATGACATCCGAATAGCATTTAGTCAAAATGGACCCGGGCACTCAGTGCCGCTATTCGGATCCGGATACCTTTAGACTCAATGCTATTCGGATGTCATTTGTGGTAGTTTATTTTAGTTAAACTGAAGAAGTAAGTTTACAAACATACAGTCCATTCAATTATCTTTTATTTGATACCAAAGTTTGTCTTAACAGCCTAACAATAATATTTTTGTTTTAATTTTAATCCCAACATCTCACTTCTCGGACCCGGATCCGAATAGCCACGTCTATTGTTAAAGGCACTTAAAAAGCACAATTTCTTTCTCACATTTCACATTTTCAAAACCACTCATCAGCACAATTCTTCCACCCAGGAACATTTCTAATCTGTTTCAAATTAGGAATAACTAAAGTTGCCAGCTTCTCTATGTAAAAATCTTTAGTCATTCCTCACCTGTTCTGTATACCAGAATCCTTGGATTTACTCATGTCAAAGTAAACACCACCAACAATCAATGCAAATATTGCAATTACAACAAACTGGAACAAGACAATGGTCAAAATTGATGGAAATGTTCAAAATGAAGGAAATGTTCAAAATGAAGGAAATGTTCAAAATGAAGGAAATGTTCAAATTAATGGAAATGTTCAAAATGAAGGAAATGTTCAAGTTAATGGAAATGTTCAAAATGAAGGAAATGTTCAAAATGAATGAAATGTTCAAAATGTAGGAAATGTTCAAATTAAAGGAAATGTTCAAAATGAATGAAATGTTCAAATAGAAGGACATGTTTAAACTGAGGAAAGTGCAAATTGAAGGAAATGTTCAAAATGAATCAAATGTTCAAACGGAAGGAAATGTTCAATTTGGATAATTTCTCATGGTTAAAATAAAAAAATTTAAAAAGAATATCTGTTTCATAATCGCAATAAATTTATGTTTAAAAAAATTAATTTAATAAACTTTAAGTTATTAACAAATTCATTTTTAATTATTTCTTTATTTTCATTTCACTAAAGCTATATTGAAAAGCCACAGACCTGCATAATAGAAACCTGAGGATTTCTGGCAATGTTCTTTATACATCGTTGTGATACCGTCAACAGCTGTGGATGTGAAGCATAAAACATAAACATGACATTGTCATACAATGCATAAGTCACATAATAGCTGGGGGGAAAAAGGGGGGAGCTGTCACCAAGGCTTGGGACATTGCCGGCTCTGCGCTCGTTTTAATAAGTATAATATAAGTTGATATTGGAGTGTAAGAACAATTTTAAATACCGGGAACATTATATAATATATTTTAGGTCCAGCTGAAAGAAAATGTAAAAAAAAAAAAACAAGATGAGGATTTGAATAAGAGAATTCTTCCAGTGCAATTATTGATGAACTTGCTGCTTGCTGGTTTTAAGGAATTAGATTTGACATCACAATTGAATGTATTTACCATTAAACGTCCTTAAATGATAATTCTTTGACCAGAAAAATCAAAAACATTAATCTTGATAATTTGTGTAAGTTTTTAGATGAGCATTGTCTATTTAGGGATGGCTGACCGACCCCCCCCCCCCCCCAAAGTTAAATACTGTGGCCCACCGGATGTATCACAAATGAACTTTTTCTTTCTTCATTTACTTGCAGTTCTTTTTAATCTTGTTATAAAAGCTCATGTAAAATTAATAAATTATCACTATATTTAAAAAACAGAATTTTGTTTCCATGTAAATCTATACTCTAATTTTATAAGTGTGCTGCATGTGTAGCTGTGTTATCATCTGAGAATTATGTGCATAAAAAAAACAACGTATTTCCATGCATTTTTTATTTGGTGTTTATTTTATTAACAAGTTGTAATGACAATCGGCCCGCAAAGAGTTGACTCGCAAATCAAGATGGCCTGCTGATATTTGTCGCTGGGTGGCTTTGAATTTTTGAAATCTTACATGACTGGCCTTACTAACCTGAACTCCAAAGGATGTCTTGTACTCCACTTTCCTAATCCTAATAGTATTACCACCGCCGGCATCTTGCTGGTGAGCGTCCATGATAGGCTTCAGCTCATCTTTCACTCTAGGAAATTGAAAGGGTCCATCATACGAGGAATAAGTCATTGAAAGAGTACTTAGTTTATATAGAACGGTTACTATGGGGAAAAATATTTTATATGAATAATTTGATTAAAGTAATAATTAGTTTAATAAATAATTGATTTTGAACAAATTAATTTAATGAATAATTATTAAAAAAATAAATTATTTAAGGAATAGCAAACCAAGAAAATATACATTCATTGATTCTATGTTGTGTGTATATTAAAGAAAATTTCATGCATTTAATTCCCAAAAATGCATCTGAATTTAATTTTCTAATGGCAACTAAATAAACTTTTAAAAATACTGATAATCACAGATCAGTATTCATGAAATGATGTAAATACATATTCATGTCCTTTTTACCTGTCGCCCCCCGCTGGCATACCAAATAAGGTGGCAAGACATTGTGGTCAGAAGGAGAAACCTGGGGATGTCTCGAAATCTCTTGCTGATATACTAAAGAATGATCTGGTTTTTCATTGAATAATTGATGACAGTTGAATAATTTTTTTTTAACTAATTGGGTAATGGAATGGAGAAGGATGGTATTCATCTCACCTGTGGCGCCCCAACGGTCCAAGGACAAAGGGACATGATGATGATGATGAATTGTGTTAAAGATGTTACAGACTTACATTTGGTACCATTTGGAATTCCTGAAAAGATCCCTCAGTCCAGATGGTTCTGCTGTAGAAAAAGAAAAATAGAAAAGTTAAAATAAATTATTATGATTTTTTTTTTAGGTTTAATACAAGTCCTTATAGTCTACATCATGATACAGTGGATCATCTGTTGAAGGACTACAACAGTAGCAGTTGACAAAATGGCGTTGAGTTCATCAGCTGGCCTACAGGTTGTCACTGACATGTTTTTTCTTTAGGAGTCCTCTCCTTAGTCCCCAATTTTTGGACAAGGCAGTTTACAGGATAAATAATTTGAAACAATTCAGCCAACATACATCTTTAGAGTGCCTCTCCCATATATCAGCCATTGTGCATGTTTTGATATGAGTGTTTTAAAGAGCAGTGTGCATTCATTTCTTGAAATCTACAGCTTGAAGTATTATTTCCCAGTCCTTGTGAGTGAACCAACCCCATGACGTTTCATTCATTTGCAACCCCACCCCCCCACCCCCCCCATCCTAAATTCCTCAAAGCATTTCCCAAACATTTTTCCATTGACAAAATAAAATTTCCCTTCCAGTTCTTTCTTTTATCACATTTCAAAAATAAAACTGAAATGGTAGCTTCTAAAAAAACCTTGATAGACATTAACCAAACGGTACAGATGTGTAGATTCTCACACTGAATGCGCTATTGCATGAGACCTGACACACTTGTTGTAAAGAGACACCACAAAAGACACACCAGCTTACCCTCAACAGCTACAACATGCTCTTGGACTTTACCTGAGGATTTACAATGAATATTTTAAAACATGTATATCATGCTAGGCAAACCGTTAGTTTTTATGATCTATTCCTATACACACATTCTTAGCGAATCAAGTAAACTAATTTTAAAGCAGTGCTGACAACTACTTAGAAATTTAGAGTCTGGTAATAGATCAAATTTGAGCGGCAGTTAAAAACACATGAATTATTTTCTTCGAGTTTTTATTTCTTTAAACCGGTCCAGGACAATAAATGTCTACATGGGTGGGGCAAGAGAGAATTGTGTCACTCTGGCGGGTGTACTCACCGGAATCGTGCAGATGATTGGATACAGTGTTGCCTAAAGCACCGTTGGGTTCCCTCGCCATAGAGGCCACAGCAGTGGAGTCTCCATTAATAACATCCAGGAAAAAATCAGGTGGGTTATTGTGCTCCTCGCAAATGTAGCCTGCATTTATTTTACAGGTAAAAGTTCACTCAAGATTTTATACAGGTAAAAATTCACTCAAGATTTTATACATGTAAAAAGTTCACTCAAGATTTTAGACACATAAAAAGTTAACTCAAGATTCTAGACAGGTAAAAGTTCACTCAAGATTTTATACATGTAAAAGTTCACTCAAGATTTTAGACACATAAAAAGTTAACTCAAGATTCTAGACAGGTAAAAGTTCACTCAAGATTTTATACAGGTAAAAGTTCACTCAAGATTTTAGACACATAAAAAGTTAACTCAAGATTCTAGACAGGTAAAAGTTCACTCAAGATTTTATACAGGTAAAAGTTCACTCAAGATTTTAGACACATAAAAAGTTAACTCAAGATTCTAGACAGGTAAAAGCTCACTCAAGATTTTATACACATAAAAAGTTAACTCAAGATTTTAGACAGGTAAAAGTTCACTCAAGATTTTAGACATAAAAAGTTAACTCAAGATTCTAGACAGGTAAAAGTTCACTCAAGATTTTATACACATAAAAAGTTAACTCAAGATTTTAGACAGGTAAAAGTTCACTCAAGATTTTATACATGTAAAAAAAAAGTTCGCTGAAGATTTTCACTTGGTGAGATATAACTATAAAATTAATTTGATATATGTTTAAATGTTCATTAATTTATTCCACTTCAAAAAACTAAATACATGAATTTCATTCTTGTGATTAATGTTGACCAGTATTTTTAATCTCAAATGTTCTTCCTTATTTATTTTTTAATGGCAAAAAAAAATATATATGAAAGTTCATGTGATTTAAGCAACTTATGTAACATATTTATAGACATTTGACAAAAAAAGGTATCTAATATTTCAGAGGTTCCCACACTATGTGCTTCGGCTCTAAGGAGAGCCAAGGCTTCCTCACAAGGGTGCTGTGAAGTGTTACAAAAATGTTCATAATGTAATATGCGAACTTGGTGCAAACTGGTATTTTATCTAGTAATAACTGTTTGCAGAAGCCTTCCTAAATAATCGCTAGATGGCACTCTAGGTTAGTTATCTTTATCAATTGTCATAGTTGTTTCTAAACACAACTTATGTACTTTGTGTTTGTTTTTAATTGCCATTGGTTTCGCACAATGCTAGTGTTGAATTAATTTTCAGAGATTGTGTCAACTGAATATTTTTGTGATTATGTCAAGTGAAGTTAATGAAGTATTTGTTCACATTTGTAGTTTCAAAATTGATTGTTTTTTTTTAAATAAAATATTTATTAGAAAAAATTTTAGGAACCTCTACATCACCAGTATTTAAAAATTTCATGGCATAACTTTGCAGTGGTTAGATCAGCGGTTCTCAACCTTTCTAATGCCGCCACCCTTTAATATAGTTCCTCGTGTTGTGGCGAACCCCAACCACAAAATTATTTTCGTTGATACTTCATAACTGTAGAGTATATGTATTTTGAGATGGTCTTAGGCGACCCCTGTGAAAGGGTCGTGCGACCCCCAAAGGAGTCACGACCCACAGGTTGAGAACGGCTGGGTTAGATGGACCTGATGGCACGATGGCCCTGACCTTCCTTTCGTTCTGATTTAATTAGTAAGAAGCAGTACCAACCAACAGATGTGAAATAGTCCAGGGCTTCATTAGCCTTGCCGTGATAAGCCACATCTCCGTGGGACATGAGCATGAGTGAATCAAACAAGCGATAGATGGAGAAACGGGGCTGGTGTATTGAAAAGATGATATTGCGACCACGATCTGCCAATCTGGTGAGAGTTTAAAGATTTATAATTCTAATGACTTAATTTTTTTTTTTTGGGGTGAAATTGATGTAAATGAGTAAATTTATAGCTGGGAGTAAAAATAATAGTTTCTTAACTAGAATCTGTGGCCATTTCCGATGCCTAAATTGTGGAAAAGAGACACTTTAATGAAGCAGGAATTCATCTTGACCACCAAATAGATCACCTTTTTAACAACAGCATGACTGCATTAGCTGTGCTGGCATCCAAGCCTGTCGTCGGTTCATCTAAAAACAGGACCGGAGGAGAGATAATGAGCTCCATGCCGATGTTACATCTCTTTCGCTCTCCACCAGACACTCCGCGGATGAACTCATTACCAACCTATAAAACCAAGCACCTTCATTATGGCATACTAAATTAAGTCTTGATTAGAATAGGTGTCTGGCGCATTTTGAACTAACCAGGAACCCAACGTTGTTGTTTTTAAATTGCTGTATTTAGCTTTTCTCTGAAACATGCAATACATATTTAAAAGACACCTCATTACACAAGCATGAAATAACTGTGTCACTATTTTTATATAATTCTTAGATAAAAAAGATCTCTGACCCACATTTCTAACATCTGATTATTCTTAAAAAGAGCATCTCATAACCGGAACTACTGAGGGAAGATAACCTTACCTTGGAGTCAGCGACCTCTGTCAACCCAAGCTCGTAGATGACCTGTTCAACTCTATCCTTCCTTTCTCTTTTCTTAACAGACCTTGGGAGACGGAGCGTTGCTGAGAATTCAAAGTTTTCTCGCACTGTCAATGTACCCATAACAACATCGTCCTGTCATTGAGAATAAGGATAGATATGATAAATTACATAAGAAAGTAAAGCCTATCAAATGACTGGTGCATGTTGTACATGGGTTTTCATATTTTGCAATGGAAGGTCCTTATTTATACTTTCACAAAGGACTTCTATTGTTCAAAAAGGACACTTTTTAATATTGTCAGTAGCCAATATCAGTACTGTGTGACCTTTACCTTCATTGTGACCTGGTTTATTGTTTGATAATTACATTAGCATTCAAGCAGCCCTTGTAACCAGTGAAATATCCTCTTCAGTACCAGGCACAGAAACATTTCAAATCTCCTCTACATGCATAGGAGCCAGAATGATCAATAAGTTGATCGTAGGCCCTTAATATATAGAAGAAGAAGATATGTGCTGACCGTGAAATTGAAATGTTGGTTTGTGTTGATAAGGGTGGGTGTTGATAAGACTTAAAATGAAAGTGATTCTTGCATCATTGTTACTTAATTCCTGGTTGTAAAACTTATCAGCAGATCTACCCTTTGTTATATTCTGGCCCTCCTGAATTGGCCATTCCGGTCACATAATTACACATGCATGGTGGGCAGTAAACTGGTGGCTGCTTTGCCCATTAACCACAAGGCATCGGTGCTTAAATGACATCATCCTCGGGTGTAAGGGATATGCTCCTCTATGGCATTCTTTTAGCCATGTCGCTGACTGATTCAAAGCATTTTCCCAGATGAGGCTCCCTTTTAATAGTGACGCTCAGAGGCTCATCTCTTGGTCTAGGCACAGGGTTCACATCTTTGGGTGACAGAGAGGCACTCATTTCCATTTCTGGACCTGGTTATTTTCCTAATGCTATGTCTTACCCTCACAACAATAACCTAAACTATATCAAAATGATAATAATTATTGTGATTAATTACAAATGACCTAAAACGTACAAATACAAAGCAATTTTCCAAGCTGATTAATAAGTCATCTGACAATCGCTAATCGGTGAAACCTTAACAACTACGATGCTCTGGCCTCCCCCCATCCTAAATTTTATGACATCCTGACGTCTTCACGAGAGGATGGATTAGCTATCGACACTCCATCAAGCGACTCACGAGGCCGCTCCTAAATGGTAGTCTCGACCGCACTTCTCGCAGGAGAACCTTGGCCTTTTGTATTAGTATTACTACTTTTTTTGTGGGGGCTTTGTAACATCCTGAATGAAAGGTTTAATTCCACTCTATTCTTGGAATTAATTTAAATAGTAAATGCACAATGTGAGGTAAATAAATACCTGAACAACGTAACCCACGAGGCACTTGTAATTGTCAGGGGGTGGCAAACCATCCAGTAGAATAGTACCAGTTAAGCCCCTTGGTTCCTTCCTTCCGGCTAAGACGTCCAGTAGACTTGAAAATGATACATTGTTATAGCATTTCAGAAAATAGCAACATTTAATGCACTAGAAATTAGGGCTGTTATTTTATGACATCATCAAAGTGTATTAGTATTATGTTTTCATTATTAAAAAAAATTGGGTGCAATGTCATTATGAATACCTGCTTCCCACACACAGCAGTTCATTGATGGGGGTAAAATAATATTCTTGAACATTTCATAGCATTATTTTTGTTTTAAGCATATTACTTAAAGAACCCCACACTTACGAGGATTTTCCACTTCCTGTTGGACCAAGAATGGCATTCATACCTGGCTTGAATATACCACTGTTGAAAAAATAAAATGTTAGTGTTATCTGTTAGGGTACAATTAATCAATAGTCTTTTTTAAAAGTTTAAGGATAGTCTATTCAAAACAAAATATTTTACTAAAAACCTGTGCATTTTTACACACTTCATGGGGGGGGGGGGGGTCCAGCATCATTTTCAGCTGCCCCTTACAAATCACACTTGTGTGTGCTTTCCCTGACTCAGAGCCAACAGAAGCCTTAATCTCAGCTGAAGTCTCTTACACAGAAACAAATCAATACATTTTCTTGAACTCAAAGCTGGCATTGCAGAGCCTCATGACCTTTGAACCCATTACATAGTTAGTATGAGATGTTTATAGAACACAGTTCTTGGTTACTGTCTACAAGACCATCTATTCAATATTTTTTTCTCTTTGAAGATTATAAGTTGGTTAACTAAGTCTAAAGAGAAACAGCCCAAGGCCAAATTTTTAAATCTTAAATCTTTTGTTTTATTTTTTTTGGTAGGATACATATATATTTTTTTTTTTTAACTTTAATTTATACTTTATGAATGTTGTTGTTTTTTTGCTGTGCTATAGAGGGCATTTGCCAAAAGGTGTGCATTTGTATTCTGTGTATCCATCATTAAAGCTTAACATGTTTTGTTTTATTTACACAAATTGTGTCTCATTGTAGGAATTCTGTTGAAAGCATTTTTTCACAATAACTTCAAAGTGTTAAAAATTGCCCAGCACTTAAACGATGTTTAAAATATTGACTTGACATCTACTGCAAGGATGACTCACTTTACATCCTTCAAAATCTTTTTTTTTACTCTTTTCCCACAGGCTGACAGTTTGACATCAACTTCGTAGTTTATGTCATGAAAGCTCAGGACACTTGACCCTTGACCTTCAATGCTGGCAATCCTCTCGGCGCGCACTCTGGCAGACTCCCCGGATGTCGGAGCACCGGTGTTGGTGGACCCGTAGACATCGTTGGGGTGCCATGGACTGGACTCGGCTGAATTATTGGCCTGGTTACCCAGCAGACTGTCCTATAAAGAAATACAAAATTTACTTTTGGTTACAGCTGGACAGAGAATGCTGCTGATGCTCTGCTTTCACTTTAGTGACAACACAGATGCAGTTTACACCACGTTAAATTCTGATGAAGAAGTGGACTGTTAGTGAATTAGTACAAAACCACTACAACAAACAAAGCTGTTCTATTTTTGCTGTCGAACCCTTCTTAGATGAAACGCCCAATTTTTTTTGCATTGTCCTTCTCCAAGATTTTCTGTACCCTGTAAAAAATTTATTATTGCTTTAACCTGAACGCAGTTCTCGCAGATTTCACCAATAAAAGTTTAAGAAAAATTATTATTTTTGCAAAGCTGAAGATATTACAGCCAAATTTTTTGTTAAATTAAGAGAGCTGAACTTTAAAATGAAAGCGGTTTGACATCCGTTTTTAATGTTATCAGATTTGGATCACAACAAACATGGAAAGAGAATAAAAAGTTTGCATGATAACCTTGTAATAGGAAATGAGAATGCAATGTTAGCTGTGGAATTTTTAACAGCCATCCCCATTTTTTTTTAAATTATTGTATTAATTTTCTAATGAAATTCAAAAAGTTATTATTTTATCGAGGAAAAGCTCATTTCAAGTTAGACAAAGAAGAAAGCAAAATTAATTAAAAGCTATGTAAATGTATGGCAGACATCAGAAAGCAAAAGTAATTAAAAGCTATGTAAATGTATGGCAGACATCAGAAAGCAAAATTAATTAAAAGCTATGTAAATGTATGGCAGACATCAGAAAGCAAAATTAATTAAAAGCTATGTAAATGTATGGCAGACATCAGAAAGCAAAATTAATTAAAAGCTATGTAAATGTATGGCAGACATCCAGCAGAGAGAGGAGCTAAAGAGCTGATGAGGTACAGGCAGCTGAACTTAATTTTAACAACCATAGATAAACCACAGCTTGGAGATTTTATCTCAAAGTGGGCTTCACTGTTTGACTGAACACATTTCCACTAGAATGCCAGTTCAGACATGAAACTATGCTGGCAAATAATATGAAAACAAGTTAAGAATTTCACCACTCACAACCCGGTTAAGTTTGGTATGACTGATAGCAAAAACTTTGGAATCTTGTCCACCAAGAACTGTTTCACTAAAATTATTCTTTGACATTTCAAAGTGCTTAGAGCTGTTCGTAATCTAAAATCACAACAAAACCTATTGCCTCCCTTCAAACTGAACATACAGAAACTATCACGAATGAGTGAGACACCGTTTTAAAAAAAAAAAAGTAGAACTTTAGATAAGGTATCTCGCCATAAATAGGCTAAAAAACCATGTAAAGACGCTTGTATCAGGACCTTAGAAGAGGGATTATCTGGTCTAAGTGAAATCATTAAAGACATTGGACTAAAAGAGAAACAGGACACAGAACCGTAAGTTGAGTTCTGTTTTGTGGCTTCGTATTTGTTTACCAAAAATAAAAAATTGATCTGTAAACTTCAATTTGTATATTTTAGGCTATTAGTTTATTTGTAGGCCAACAAGACAGCAACACAATGTATCCCTCATTTAATAGGATTGAGCATCTCAATTCTTAGTGCACATTTCACCATGTCAGAGCTTTTGTTTATACAGTCAGACACCAGAATATACTAATCAACATGTTATTACATATCACAAGCCTATTTTAACTGTAGATGAAATTAAAGTTGGACAGGAATATAATCTAATGTTTTCTATGTTACACTGGACTGTATTAAAATAAAACAAATGTACTTTTTGGGGAGTTTTTTGTGATCTAAAAATCTAAAACGGGCTTAACTGAAATATATAATTAAAAACATTGAACCAGATCATCACATAAGCCATGAATTTCAATGTCTACCCTGTTAACAGCTGATAGTTAAGATTTTTGAAAGATAAGAAATTGTTTCAACAGCCTTCCCAAATGTTACTGCTACTAAAATGATGTTGCTAAGTGTATGTTCACTGATATGTAACATTTTTCTGTTCAGTTTTACAAGAAGATAAGTAAGCTAAATAAAGAGATTTTTTTTTAAAAAGTCATAATCAAAATGTAATGTTTACTGACAAAGCACAAGATTACTTAATGTGAGAATACAAAGAGTAGACTCTGAAACAACTTAATGACAGCTGTTAAAGATTTTTTAAAAATCATTGTTTTAAAAATGAAGATAACTGGTGGCTGACTTCTTGTCTCATAAAGGATAACTACAACTTAAATTTTTAGGGAGTTTCCTGGAGTTCATGATGAGATGATTGCTTTAAATTATGTTTGGGGAGTTTCCTGGAGTTCATGATTGAGATGATTGCTTTAAATTATGTTTGGGGAGTTTCCTGGAGTTCATGATGAGGCGATTGCTTTAAATTGAAGGGCTAGGTAAAAAATAAAATAAAACATTTTTTTTTAAGATCACAAAGTGCCATCTTGTCACTACTCGTAGAGGCTTCTCCCAAAATAAGTGAGTTACTGATTTGTACCATGTCCGCTGGGGCACTGTGGCACACATTTTGAGAACCACTGTAGGAGTCATAATTGTTTTATTTGGGGTAACGGTATCTTTACACATGTAGCTTCTGTTTAATTTTTTTTTAAAAAGCTTTGTATTAACCTATTTCAAATATTATCTACACAGCTTTAAAATATTATGGCAATATTATATACTAACCACAGCAGAAGAATGCAATTCCATATCAATGGCAAGTACAGCAAAACACCTCACAATAAAGAACTAATGCATTGAGGCAGGCACATTACCGAAGCTGTCAATAATTATTATGAGCAGTGTATGCATGTGCATTTATGTTTAAAGTAGTACTGAGTTTTGAAACCAATGCTGGCTCGATCATTATTTAATTTTCTGGCTGGCCTTCCACTTTCCAAATTGCCATTTGCTTTAACTGTCAAGCTAATGGGCATGAGCACCAAATCAGGTTACAGTACTAATTACACAATTAACTTCCAATAACAAACTGAAGGCGTCTGGATTTCCAAATATGTAACAGTTCAGGTGTTGTAATATTGGCTTGTGAGCAACATAAATCCTGTAGATGAACAAATTTCAATGTGTGTATGTAAGTGTGAAATTGGTTGATATTCGCGAGACCCCTGGCAACACTTTTTTTTATCTTTTTATAGAGGGGTGGCATTTTCAGTTAACTGCAGATTTTTTTTTTCATGGAAAGGGGTGGTAAAAATCTTGGCCTCGCTCTGGGCGGCACCAACCCTAGCTATGCCACTGAAGTATAATTGTTTTAAAAGGGCATCAGGTTAGGTAAAAGCATATTAGAACAGGTCAGACGAGTTTCTCTTTTCTAGATTAGCAGACCTGTTTACCCTCAAACTCTTAAAATCGTACAATATCATCAAAAAGTCATTTAATACGTTATATTCATAGTAAAAAAAACATACAGAATATAAAATCTATACACCTCAAAATCGTACATTGTACGCCAAAATCGTAAGAGTAAACAGGTCTGGATTAGATATCTGACTTTGTCACAAGATTCTGATATCCATTTAATGTGTCTATATTGTAGTTAGGTTTATATGTACAAACGTTTTGTATTCTCATTAAATTGAAAAATGTAATTGTTTATTTATGTTGCTGTTGATCATATTATTGGGATAGCTATGAATATATCAATTCTTAAAAATTTATTTTTCCTAAGAGGACATCTGTAAATGACACAATTTTGACTGATTTTTTTACCCCCTTTCCATCATCAAAAAATTTTCACAAAATGTAGACACCCTCATAATACATCACAAATGTGTGACCCCTATCCCCAGATTAATGAAATTTATGGATGGCCCCTAATGGTCCTTTTAACAAAATAAATTGTTTAATTTATGTTCTTTAATCCACTGGTGCTTCTTAAATTTATATTGTTAGTATTTATAATAACAGCATATTTTTTTAAAGGAAAATAATGATTAAGTAACTGAGCATATTTGATTCTTGTTGTCCAATGTCCTACTGTACCCACTAAAGTAGGCTTGCCTTTTTAGATTTGTAACAGACTTTACCTAAGAGCTGATTAAGAGCTGATGAAATAATTGGCAAACGTTTCAGTTGCAGGCTTGCAGCACACAGCTATTTAGCATACTATAAATTTAATGTTCTTTTAGTAAATGTATATTTGTATGAAAGCAGAACCTGGAATTTTGTATATAATCAGGCCTTATCAATGAGGACAAAAGCAGGGCCAATTCCCCTCCCACTAGTCAAATACAAGGGTAATATTAGTAATTAAGGGGAGAGACTGCAATCAGGTTAGCAAAATAGGAACTTAGTAAAACAAAGTAAGGTCAAAGCTAAAAAAAGGAATGCAACAAAACAATGCACAAACATACAAATAGCCTCAAATTTACTAAGAGATTTATAATGATTTAAAGATTAGCAATTAAAATTCCAGCTTTCAAAAGAAAATATTCTAAGAAGTCATTAATAAAGCTTTGTTATGTTGCCATGAAAATCTTGGAGGATTTTATCATTGAAATCAATCTTTTTATGAGATATTTTGAGATTATTAAACATCCACCTGGTGGGAGGAGAAGGTGTTTAGATAAGTTAGTTGGCATCGACTGACCTCTGAAAATCACTAACTAATGTAGTTCATTGCAATGATAAGTTAGTAGGTTTATAATAAATTGCTTCTAAATTCTGTCACACTAAGCAAACTGTGAGAAATTAAATTTATATGCTTTGAAATTAACCTGAACAATAAATAGGTTAATGGTAGGACATGAACAATAAGTAGGTTGATGGTAGGACATAATTGAAGTTCAGGAAGTTATTGAAATTACCTTTTAAAAAATAACTATTTTTATAAGCACTATACATATATATAATAATATATATATAGGAATAATTATTTTTAATTTTTTAGAATTTCTTAAATAAATATTAGTTTAGTGTTATTTTCTTCCTTATATTTGAATTAATTATCTACCATATATAAAATATCCACGTTCATAAGCCAACTTTTTAATGAAAAAATATTTCAGGGGAATAAATGGGGCCTGTTGGCTTAGGCTTATGAGCAAGTCATAAGAGATTTTATCATTTTCTCCAGGTAGGTTGATTCTATTTTAGAAAGAAAACAATGAAGAAAAAAGTAAGTAACAGATATCAACATAAAGACATGTGCAAATTTGGCTTTGTGCAAAACTGGGTCACATCTTTTGTCCTTATTTTGCAAATGTCATGATTGGCTCTACTTGGAGAGTCTCAAAGTGACAACATTGAATAATGAACATTCTATTGTAGAATGCGGAGATCCTATTTTTGAAAATTTTTAGTATGGTTTCAGTATAAACTGGTAGATACACTAGGCGAGAATCTTTGTTATAAATAATACTGTATGTTTATTAGTTTTTAAGTTTTTACTTAAGCTACCGGTACTCAAAAATTATTATTAAAATTAAAAGTTAAGATTTTTTTTTTAAATAAATGATTTAAAATTAGTAGTGCTTCTACTGGCATATTACTTTATGGGGTAAGCATATGTGTGGGTTGCAGACTTATCAGCCTTTTCCTTACCAAAACTAATGAGGTCCACTGATGAACAAATGGGCTTTTGAAAGAGTAAATACAACAGTAAACTAAATAACTTACAGGAGCCTAGGCTCCACAACATAAACAGGACTATACTAATAATTATTACTAATGTTAATAGTAGGCCTACTATTAAAGAATCATAAGGGAAGCCATCGAAATCGGCTAATGAGAATTCATAGCTGACCACCGTTCTAGCTGACGAACAGCTGTGTATGTGAAGATCAAACAGGCAAAAGATCCATGGAACAAAAACCTTGCAGCAAAAAGAGCATTACGGACGGCCAAAGTCAAAGCAAACCAGGAATGAAGGTTCTCCTGCTAGAAGTGCAGCCAAGACTGCCATTCTAGATTCTAGGATTGGCCTCATAAGCCATTCCATTTTGAGAAAGTGGCAATTTAAATAAATTATTCCATCGTCTCAAGAAGATGGAAGGATGCCCAAATACTATAGTATAGTAATATTAATAGGCTGATGAATAGGCCTACAAAATATAAATTTGAAATAGGCCTCTATCCAAAATTCATTCAAATATAAAAGAGCATTATAATATATTTATAAAAGTGAACTATTAGTTATAGCTATAAAAGTTATAGTCGTTAGACTTACCATTGCTTGATTTTGAAATTGATTGTTAGTGAAGAGCCCAGAAATTACATGACATGGACCATGGAGACAAAGTCAAATGCTA